CTCCTCATCTGCTGCGCAACCAGAGGTGTCTGCTCACCTCGTGAAGTCTGGATCTGGGGCATTGTGGAGCCATCACTACCAAGAGGGGGACTTGCTGGACTACTCGGGAGTGTGTACGTGCCTGCCTCCTTTGTATATCCTCCAAGCTGCCTGATGGTGAAGTGCTGGACCTTACGTGGGTGGAAAAATCAACCTGCGTGAGCTTGGAGCATCATGGCCATTTCCTCTGGACCTCATTCTAGAGGCTCCAGTCTAGAGTGTCCCACGCCACAGGCAATAGGCAAACCTTTAAGGCACAGGTCATCCCACTCCCATTGAAAGACTCTAAACTAGTTTTTTTGTTGTTGTTGTTGCTTCTTTTCACCAGCCTTGTAGCACCCATATCTATGTACAAAATGGTCCCAGTAAGCTAAATCAGTGGATCTAGCACATTTTGCTAGAGGGAGTGTATGAAAGAGGGATGAGAAAAGAGGGCAGTGATTAATCTAAAGGGTGGGAACAGAGTGGTAAGGTTTTATTTCAAAAGGGCACTGATCCTTGTTTTGAGGTTCACCCAGACAGCTGGTGTTAAGATGGTATGTTTTTCAGTGGTCCAGGACTCCAGAACAGCCACCAGGCTCCCTGACTTTGCCCAGAGCTGCCACTCACTTTCATCCACCCCTCAATCTGTCAGCATCACCAATGCACCAGGAGAAGCCCTGCAGGACACCCATTAATATACAGAAGTGCTCTGCCTATGGAAGATGCACTGAAAATAATAGGAGACCCTTGTACTATAGATCTGTTTCTGGCAGCTCTGTTAGCTTCCGAGGAAAAAGACTTTTGTGTTAATGTTGAGCCTACGCAGAAGACCACATTCCTGCGTGGATTCATGCAACACAGAACCTGGAGAATGTAATAGTACCATATTAGAGCAGTGGTTCTTTGCACACCAAAGAAATGGGGTCCTTTCTATAGCCTGAGCATTAGAATAATGGGAAAGACATTTCAAGAATGTCAGGGTACATTAAACCCTATCAAAATGTGGTAATACATTCCTTCATTTGCAACGTTTCCTGAGCATTTTTTCATATTCATTTCTTTAGAGCACATAACAAATCCAATGGCATACATTCCCTTAGCATGCAGTGAGGAACAAACAGGCACAGAACACCTCAGCCTTCTGTTTTTCTAGAGAATAGACAACTGTCATAAACCATTGGAAAAATCCCACTTATGTGGACATTGACTGGCTTCCCAAACACTTGGCTTTGGACCACACAACTAATTACCAGATTTGAGTGCATAATTCTGAACAGAATTTGTCAAAAAGAGGCACCTAAAATAAATGTTGAAAATGTTTCTGGAGAAGAGAAGATTACAGCTGAGCACATAACTCTCAAAGTAGGCATAACTAGAACTTTGAAAATTCCAGTTTCAACTTATTCAGAGAGCTGCCAGTGATAGTCTGCTTCTCTGTCAGGGCATTCTTTTGGGGGGGGGGGGGGGAGTGTGGCGTGGGGGGCAGCTCTAGCAGCACACTTCAGGAACAAGCAAACTAATGATTTGAGATAACTTAAAACCACTCAGTTGCAGCTCTTACTTTCTCTAGTTGTACATCCTAGTTGTACATCCTAGTTGACTGAGATCAGTGATTTATGTATTTTTGTTTGGATCTGTATAGAACTCCGAAAGTTCTAGTTTATCAAAAAAGTGCTGTAAAAATACTAAGCATTTGCAGTTTTTCTCCATGATTGCAGGTTTGTGCAGTGGCTATGGTGGCTTCTGTCTCATCTGGAGTTTCCCTGCCCAGAATTGGGGGGAGAGATGTTTTCAGAAACAGTGGGCTCTCCTTAACAGTAGCATCTCTGCCCTAGAATTATAGGATGTGTGATACTGCAACTTTACATCTTTTAAACTACATGGCATCCTTTTTATTGTGGCTGGGGGTAACACGCTAGTTTTCTATAGGTGACAAGGTTTTAATTGTCTTGCTTTTTTTTGGGAAGCAAATGATTAACATAGTCACACTTGGCACAAGGTGAATTGGGAGCTGTTCTGTGTAGTGTTTCAATTCTGGTGTTAGGAACCTTTAGTTTTTGTTTCTCCTGTAGAACGATAGCATTGTCTTCTTCTAGACTGGAGGAGAAAAACATGCAGTTGCTTTCTGTAGAACATTGTCTTGATTTTGCACTAAAGCTTCTGTAATTAACAATAAAGACTTCCTGAAAACCTGACATCTTTTTGCTTTTCTATAATATAGTAGTTCCTGAAATCTTTTACTGGCTTTGGTCTGTTGATGATCCAAACATTGTGTACGACGTTCCTCTGCTGGAAGTTCCCAGGAGGGCCTAAATTTCGAGATCAGATCTTGCCATATGCCCCTAAGGGTTAGATGTCTTGCTAGAGCTCCCTTTGCATGAAGGGGAGTACATTCTATAGCTTCTCACCAAAACTGTTGGAACATAGAACAGCATTGACACTTTTTGATGGGGTTTCCATCCTTGTCGGAAGAAGGATACACATCAACCTATTTGAGTGGTGTCATGGTTTAGAGATCAAAGTTTTCCTGTGACTTTATCTGGAACACAAGGCCTATGGAATGGGGATTTATGTACTGTTGAGTGGAGGAATTCAGTGTGGCTGGACTTCTTTTCAAATAATTGCTTAACTAACACCTTAGACCTTAAAGCCACTGAGGCTGGTTCTTTGTTAACTAAGCAGCATATACTTGGACAACAAAGGATTGAGAGCTATGCAAATCCTGCACCTTCCCTTCTGGAGTGCCATGTTGCAATATAAAGAAAGGTCACATGGCCATAGGTAAGTTAACTATTCCAAGCATGTCTACCATTCTAGTGAGCAAACAGAGACCTGGAGGCCTGGTGCTTCCTGTTGTGACCTCCATAGCTGTTCTCTACATCACATCTCCCAGTGATTGGAAGTATTTTCTAAGCGGAGATCTGGCACAGCAACTGATGTGCACCAGTACAAGTGCCAACTATCTAGTCACTCTTAATTCAGTTTGAGAGACATAGGGCACTGAGGTAGGGCGAGGAAGGACAGAAACAGCCCAAATCTTGGGTGGGAGGTATTCAAAGCTTGTAGCTGAATTGAAAGGGTTTATGGTATAAATCACGTTCTTGAGATCTCAAACTATGGACCTATTGTATCCATTCACAATAGGATGGAAGACTCTTCTCCAGGGACAAAAGTAGTGAGGAGTCCATATATGCTGTCCTTTCCTCTGTGCTCTAGTACAAAGATTCCAGACACTGTGATTGGCTGGCAGGAGTCCACTGTGTCACATGGGCCAGTCAGGTCTTCCATACTGAGCAGGAGATGCCTGTAGATTAGCAGGCTTAACCATTATTGCCATCATGGGTCTAGTGCAGGGGTCTCAAACACGCAGGCCACACCAAGCTCCCCGGGCCTCCCCGCCCCTCTGCCTACCTGCAGGATTGCCCCCTGTGGCGTTGCGAGCCCCGCGCTGCTCTCTGAAGCAGCTGGCAGCGCGCCCCTTCAGGCTGGGGGAGGAGGGGAAAGGAGGCAGAGGGCTCCCGCATTGCCTTTTTCCAGGCACTGACCCCCGCAGATCCCATTAACCGGGAACCGTGGCCAATGGGAGCTTCGTGGGAGGTACCTAGAGGAGCGGCCAGAGCAGCGCGCATGGAACCTTGACCCCCCCCCCCCCCCCCGCTCCTCCAGGGGCTGCAGGGACAGAGTTCCAGCTGCTTCCTGGAACGGAGTGGTGCGGGGCTAGGGGCCAGGGCAGGCAGGCAGGGAGCCTGCCCTGGTCCCGGTGCGCACCGCTGCCACCCCGGAGCCGCTCTAAGTAAGCAGCGCCGGGCTGGAGCTCGCACCCTGCACCCCTCCCGCACCCCAACCCCCTGCCCTGAGCCCCTTGCCACATCCCGCACTCCTCGTGCACCCCTGCCCTGAGCCCCCTGCCACATCCCACACCCCTCCTGCACTCCCTGCCCTGAGCCCCCTGCCGCACCCCTCACCCACTTGCACCCCACCCACCAACTCCCTGCCCTGAGCCCCCGCCACACCCTGCACACCACCTGCACCCCCTGGGGGCAGCATTGGGGTGGGGACTTCGGGGAAGGGGTTGGAATGGGGTGGGGAAGGGGTGGAGTCGGGGCGGGGCCAGAGGCAGCAAGTGGGGGGGGGGTGGCAGTGATGCGGCCCTCGGTTCAATGCACTAGTCTTCATGTGGCCCTCGTGGTCATTTGAGTTTGAGACCCCTCGTCTAGTGCATGTTGTGTCACAGGACCCCAAAGCAACATTAAGGTGGTACAATGCCTTTGCTGTCCTCTGGGGGTGGAGTGGGGAGTCTGCTGGAGACACAAGGCAATATCAGTCTACAGGTCATTTCAAATGACTCCCCTTTCTGCCCTCCACCCTTGCTGTCTCTTACCTGGATGTGTCCTGGTCAGAGGGATGCTCTTAGTCTCAAACATTTGAATTGGGTTTTCATAGGCGCTGCAGGGGGGGAAATGTCTTTAGTCATCTGGGAAGTAGCGAGTTGACTGCCTCAACTTTTCACCACCAAGAATCTGCTTGCTCTGCACCCAACAACAAAAATAGTATGGAGAGTGACCTATCAATATGGGGTGAGGCGGGGGAGGCTTGTGTGCTGCTGCGTTCAGTATGAAATAGCCAGTTGGTTTTAGCCGCTGTTCCTCCACACCCCCACTGATTGCAGAAACCATGACAGGAGTAGGACAGTCTCCTTCCACCTGCAGGGAACAGGCCGTTGTGCTGAGCAGCATCAGGTTTTTCTTTAGCTCTCCTGGGGACGCACTCAGTTCTCGCTCTTTCCTCAGCATAATTTTGGTAATTATTACAATGATGTGCAGGGGAATGGGTGTGGCGATGATCTTGTGGGTGTCAGCTCACTCCTCGCCGCCTGTCTCGGGGTTGCTCAGTGTTGGAGAGGCACAGCAGAGGGTAAAGCCCTGGAGAAGCTTTAGCTCTGATTCCAGCCACTGAAGGATTTTTAACCCAGAAACACCATGGACGGTGTGTGGAAGGGCTGGGTGCTGCTAATCGCTCTCTACTTGGCTTCCTCCCAAGGTAAGGTCAGGCTGTTTTTTCTCTCCTCAAAAGAGAGCACCAAAAAAACCTCCCCTCTTTTTGTATCTGCTATTGTCAGCTCTTAGAAGAAAGATGAATGTTTGCTTTCTGACCCTCTCCAGGCCCCCTATCATGCACTGAGATACTGAGGATGTGCAGTATTCTATAGCTATTTGTGGGTTAACCCTGGCCCAGCTAGGAAGTGAGCACAGCACATTTGCCCTGCATTCTACGGGAAGGGTGTACTTGGTTTGTTCCCAGAGCAGGGACAATGGCATCTGAGTTCATAGCAGACTTTCCGTGCGGTCTAGAGAGCTGCTCGATTTGTCTCATTCCAGCAGAGGTGTGTATGTAGGAATGTTAGGAGATGTCACTTCTGATTGATTCTGAGAGTGGGTAGAACATCATTCAGAGCTGCCTTTGCATTGATCCACGAACGATCTGCTCCCTAGTTTTTATTGGGAAAAAAAAAATGCTGAACTATCAACTCTGAAGCTTTTCTCCTGATAAAGTTATGAATACTTGCATATAGGTTAATGCTGGTCATGCTGCCAAACTTCAGTGGGTGTTTGGGTGAGTTCTTGTTAGTGTTATCTCATGTGGCATCTCCAGAACTTCACTGGCTATAGAGAAATCTCATACCTGCAGCTTTGGATATTTGCTAGTAAAGTCATGCACTGAAAATTAAAGTTATAACTTACCAGTAAATAAACTTGGACTATGAGAGAACCCCAAATCCACCATACTCCTTGTAATACTAGGAAAGTGATTGTGAGATATGCTTATCTGATCTGAACATGTCATCCCTGTTGCAGCATTAGGGAGAGGCAAGGAAACACCAAATTCCCCAAGGGAAAATCGCATCCAGTCCCAAAGCTGGCAATCTGTTTTACTCTGTGTAGGCAGAAATACTTGTTTAAAATGGAGACGAAAATCCTTTCCCAGCCCACCTCCAACTTCCTTGGTCCTGCCGGTCAGATTGCCTGATATCTGGGGTGTGCTGTTTGGGGGTGGCAATCTGCCCAAACACTGACCTTTAGAGAAGGACAAGTGCCAAGAGCACCTCCCCTGGTTTGAGGAACAGGGAATAAAAATATCAAAAGCAGAGTCAGAAGCAGCTAGCAGGGAAATTCAGGAAAGTTTGTCAGCAGCTAGCATGTCAGTGCCTGCAAAGCCAACCGCCAGAGCTAGAGTGCTTTTCAACCTCCTGTGCTAGTCTGGCCAGTGGGGTGATGCAAGGCAGCAGGGTGTGTAACACACAACTATGCAGGATACTCCGAGTCAGGAAGTGAGTTAAGATAAGCCAAATTAAGGCCATTCTAATTCTGAATGAGAGGATCTACACAGGTGTTTAATGCAGTTTAACTAATCCACTTTAAAATCACTCCTTTTAGTTAATTTTGATTAATGTTTTTGGTTGTCCATGTATAGACCAGTCCCATAAATTTGCACAGGAAGCTATTGCACAATAGCTATTGCATTTAGGGTGTAAATTCAATCTTACTCTAGAATAACGTGTGTGTAGACAAGCCTTAGCTGGCACCTTTACGAACGCATAGGTAGATTAGGTTATCTGCATTTACGGCTCTTTGAGTGCCTACATAAAGAGCTAGGCACTTGGTGCAGTGTAGATGCCAGACATGGAACTAAGGAAAGCGGGAGGTGTTTGATCCCCCTAGAACTCCTTGGGGATTTATCTGTGCTCTTGAGATCTCACCTCTATATACTGGGTAAATGCCATACTGTGGGGTAGTGGTAGGTCAAACAAGGTATTGGGTATATCTTATGTTTGGGTACCTGGTGTCTCTGTTAGATCCTAAGCATCAGGTCTGTAACCCAAAGAAATCTCTGAGCTCACAGGTTTATTCAGTACTGTAGGGATTTGCACCGATCAGCCATTTAAGGTAATATAGATAAACCTTGAGTTCTCTGTAGTTTAAGGTCTGAGAGACTGAGCAGCTGCGCCCTCTCCTCCAGCTCTCGTAGTGGGGAGTCAGGCTTACTCTTAAGTGAGAGAACCTAAACATCCCATCTCTGCCTCCAACATCACCCCAATATGGGGCTATTTGGGGATCATTTTTACAACCTGTAGTTGGGATAACAGGAAGCATGGCTCTATGTGCACAGATTGATTTGGGATGGGTGTCTGTGGAGGGAGTTTATACAGAGCCATCTGTGGGGAGTGTGATCTAATTATCCATATTCATAGATTCTAAGGCCAGAAGGAACCACTGTGATCATCTAGTCTGACCTCTTGTGTAACACAGGCCATAGGACTCTTCCCCCCACCCCTAAATAATTCCTAGAGCAGATCTTTTTTTATGAAATCCAAGCTTGATTTAAACATTGCCCATGATGGAGAATCCACCACGACCCACGGTAAGTTGTTCCAATTGTTAATTACACTCACTGTCAAAAATTTACACCTTATTGGGTCTAGCTTCAACTTCCAGCCATTAGATCATGTTATCTAGTATCCAATATTTGTTCCCCATCTAGTTATGTATAGACTGTAATTAAGCCACCCCTGGAACGTCTCTTTGAGAAGCTAAATATATTGAGCTCCTTGAGTCTATAAGACTGAAGATTAGCTGACGATTCTGAACTGCATAAACCACACTACCACCATCACAAGATTGCATCAGACATGCCCACAATGCTTTTGCAAGCTGAACAGACGCGTCCTTGCCTCGAGGAACCTAGTATTATTTAGTCAAATACAATACCAAACACGGAAGATCAAAAGAGTGGTGTTGAGACCTCAAAGCATAATTTTCTGGGTTGATGTAACTGCAGTGTTCCAGGCACCCATGCTGAATAGAGGAAGCATATATTCAGGTCAGGTCTACACTACAGACTTCTGCCAGCATAGGTATGTGGGTCAGGGGTATGAAGGGGGGTGATCATCCCCAACTGTCATAGCTGTGTTGGCAGAAGTCCCTAGTGTAGATGCAGCAATACTAGCAAAACTGCATCTTTCCCAATGTAGCTTGCTCTGCTCATGAGCTGAGGTTTTACTAGACCAGTACAAAGCATAGCTTTGCTGGTCTAGCTATGCCCACACTAGGGACACTTCGCTGGTATAGACTACTGGCATTCCTATCCTGGTAAAGCAATCCTGGTGTGGACACAGCCTTAGTCATGTCTGAATGCTGCTCTGAGCTCCTGTCTTCTTCAGGGAGCTGAATTTTGCCCTCACTGCGTTGATGAAAATAGCTTTGGCTTTTGTTATCCCTCTGAAATGCTTTATTTTGGATTTCTTAGTTTGAGGGTGGTTGTGGATTGTATTCGTCACCTTCTCAAATCTTTCATAGCAAATACTTGCCTTTTTTTTTTTTTTTTTTTAAGGGCCAGATCCTTGGCAGATGTAAATCGACATAGCGTCATTGATTTACTGACAAGAACATACTGACTCACTGTTAGGGCTGATGCAGGACTGTAAAACTGCTTTGGCTATCAAACGCTAAGGGCTTGTCTAAGCGACTCTAGAAAGCTACACTGCTTTAACTACTAATGTGGATGCAGTTATGCCTGCATCAGGAGTGGCCGGAAGCTCCCTAAAAGTGGGGGTGTCAACGGCACCTGAACTGTGGCCCTGCCCTCATGTCGTGCTGCCTCTCTTCTTCCCCCCCCCCCCCCCCGACCCTGCTCTCCGTCCCCTACCTCCTGTCACCAGCTGTAAGAGTGAGTAAAAAGTTATGGCCATCCTCCTCCCCCCGCTGCCCCGGATCCCATTCCGGCACCCCTGGCCAGCATAAAGGTTCTAATACTGGTATAGCTGTTCCCATATGAAAATAAGCTATACTAGTATGTCATCGTCGTACTGCGTCCACACTAGGACTTGTACCAATATAACTGTTTTTGGTTTAAAAAAAAAAAAATCACACCAGTAAAACTGTTACAGGGTAAGACTTTCAAGTGCAGACCAGGCCTAAGTGTCCTCGGGGGGGGGAGGAAAAAAGTACCGATGAACCCACAGATTGGTGGGAGGGCCATGTGTTGGGGCAGGGGGGGGGAGCAATACAAATTCCTGGTGCCCGAGCATATTCTCCCCAATAATGTTGCTGATGGATCATGTAGCCTGACAAACTGGGCTGTGCTCTGTTGTTGGTGTAAGACCAATTTGTCCATGTTGGCTAATACCGAGGTGGCAGGGTGCTGCTTAAGGCATCCCACTTAAATGCACAGTAATATCAGAGTAGGGGTGTGCTCAATTTATTTTAACTAGGGTGAAGAGGCTTGGTTTGCTCACCAATCACATGATTAAATCAGTAATAGCACACACCCAGTTGCTATTAACTACAGTTTCCACTGGATAAAATAAATTACCAGGTTGTTCATGGTGCTTTGTTCCATTGAAGAGACAGAGTGGTTAAGGCTTTGTTGGATAATGCTACAGTGATCTCCTACTTCAACAGGCAAGGAGATGCCATGGCCCTGACTTTCATAATTACTGAGTACCTACAACTCCCCTGGAAGTGAATGGTAGCTGTGGGTGGTTGGCAAATCTGAAAGTCAGTGCCCAGAAATCTGGGAATGACTAAGAGGGTCAGCGGTCTTCCTAAATCCTCCTTTGCATGTAGTGTTAAATACCAGGGGGAATGTTGTGAGTTCAATTAGGCAAAGGAACAAACTGCTAGTGGAGACTGGAGTCTCCACTATTAGAGGAAAGTTAGGGTTATGCTAGGCACCATGTATTAGGCCTGGCTAGGATAGGAACAGTGGATTAGATCTCCCCATATACAGAGGGAGGAATGCAATGATACACTTGATGTTCCTTCCAACCCAAATGATTCTGAGTGGGGGTATGGGGAAGGAAAGACTTCAAATCTTCGGCCAAGGAGTTTGGCCCAATGGCCTAGTTAGTATTTGCTACTTCCTCTTTTTGACTACAGACCATTGGTTTTATAACAAATCTATAGACAAGGCTTGGAAAATCCATTCACGAGTGGGCACTTTCCCTAGTGAGTGCAGGCCCTGAACTGAAGAACTGACTTTTC